ACACTACCAAACTTATAGCTAGTGGGAAGCAGCCGCATAGCACAGGGAGATCAGCTTGGTGCTTTGTGACCGCCTGGAGGGGTGGGATAGGGAGGGTGGGAGGGAGGGAGTTGCAAGAGGGAAGAGATATGGGAACATATGTATATGTATAACTGATTCACTTTGTTATAAAGCAGAAAATAACACACCATTGTAAAGCAATTATACTCCAATAAAAATGTAAAAAAAAAAAGTAATCATACTCTTTGCAGGTTTGCAAAAAAAAACCTTCAAAAATAGCTCAAATTACAATGCAAGTTACATAGTCTAGTCAGCAGTAGGGCTATTCAACCGAAATCCCCTTTCATAAACATTAGATTAAGAAACATTCCATATTGAACTGTTTGCACGTGCTAAGTTATAACTGGCATTTTCACATACATTATCTCATTTAATCTTGACAATAAACAAAAAATAAACTAAAAAAACAACCCACATATTTCAGAAGACATAAACATACCTCAGCCTTTACTTCCTCCTCAAAGGGGACAAAATGGCAAAATAATTCTTCCTTACCACCTTCAAATTTACACTGCTCCCGTTCTCAGAAGACTTACTGTCAAAATGACATGTAAGATTTTGCATACTAAACCCAAAATCCACATAAAATAGGATTTAAACTTGCCCCTAGTAAGCAAGGATGGAGTCAGCTTCCCCTGAAGCACAGGGCTGCAAAGAAATGCAGAACTTAAAATCTGGGTTCTGCTGTGAAGGATGACATCCGTGCTTACCATGAGAGTAAAGGCAGAAGAGTTTTTCTTTTCCTGCTCCCCCATCTCAGGAGATTGAGGACCCAAGTGAGTTCCTAGTGACACTCACACAGCTTACTGTCAACATTAATAGCTTTACTATTTGACTGTCTTCCTTCACAAGGCATTAATATTCTAGGAAACTTGCCCAGGAAGCTAAAGTTACAAATAACTTTAATGTTCATTTCAAGAATTTCCCCAAAGTCATTTATCTGAACACTAGACTACTCAACTTTCCCTCATTTCATAAATATGAAAATCAATGTCCAGAGAGGCGGCAGCTGCATTCCTGGTCAGGGGTGGAGACAAGATTTGAAGCCAGGTCCCTTGACCTCTGCCCAGAAGTCTCCCCCCAACACTACACTTCGTATCAAACTAACAATAAGTTCCAGGCCGCAGAGAGTTGACAGTCAGCTTTTCGAGACAACAGATGAGAGCAATGTTTATCTTGTTGAAGGTAGAGAACCTAAGAAATCACTTTACTCACAAATCGAGGCCTAGAGATGTATTGTGGTTGCTCCATGTCAGTTAATTGGTGTAATAAATGCAAGAGAAGAAATATTACAAGATAGTATATGATTTAACTGCCAGAGAATGGTAAAAACCCACAAAATAGTTTCTTTCTGAAATAAATGACTGTGGGCCAGAAAGGACTCACAGGATTTGAGCTGACTCTTGAACCAACAGATGGAATGAGGCAGGCTCAGAGAACAACAGTTCATTTGTTAAAGTAGTTTCAGGAACACTAGTTGGGTTGGGGCTGGAGAGATAGGGTTAAGAGCATTTACAATTTCCAACCAAGTATACACTTGATTCTGTGGAAACAGAAAGACAAAAGTTTAGAGAAGATTTCTTAGGAATGCCTTGGTAGCAATATATTGAAACTTCCTAAGTACTTACTTGAGTTGATACATTCTAACCCCCTAGCAACGTTCTTTCTACTACATGCTTTAGTAAAGCACTGAAGCTTAGGAAGTTTAACAAAACACTTAATTACTTAAGTTATTCTTCCAAGTGAAGTATCAACATATTTTCAAGGAATTTAAAACACGACTCTCTCAATTATGCTTAGATTTAAAAGACGTTTCAGATAAATCAAACCTCTATTTGCTCAACTGACTTCTTATATTTTCATTTTCAGGATACAACCAGTCTGAGTTATGATACTACAATGAGAACAGGCTTATAAGTAATGTCACACATAGCCAAATGGGTAAAAAGGAAGGACAGTTGATTTCATTAATGGCCACAATACAGTACTGATATTATCACCATTTGTAATGAATGAATCAAAATTAAAAAATCATTAAAGGAGAAGGAACATTTTCGATGTTTAGTTCAAGTATGTAACTGAATCTTACTACTTATAGAGCATCAAAGTTCCAATTTAAACTTATGTTTTTCTAATTTCAATGGCTCTAAAACAGGTGCAAACGTTGCATATCTAAATCTGCAAGTAGGATATTCAATTTAAAATTTACTTTTAGAATTACACAATTATACTCAGTATGACCACTCATTTAATTCCAACCCAAAACAATTTTGATTAATAAAATACCCACATCAAAAGTAATTTGTCAATCATACCTCAGTAAAGCTTGGGGAAAAAAATTATGGAAAGAATTCTAACTTAAATTATGCAATGAATCAGAATATCCTAGGTAACTTTAAAATGAGTTAAAATGTTCGTTCAAAAATGTTTATCTAATCACAAGTCCAGTACTATGCCTTTTTATGCATCAGGCTCAATAAGAACACAACTGACTAGAGAGAAAACTGCTTTCAAAAGCATCATTTATGGTAATAACCTCGATTCTTTATGCAGTACCCAAAACACAAGACTGCAAGTACTGAATTCTGGTATTTCTGAATATATTTGTTGCAATATCTGATAAGAGTGAAATTTTTAAATTTATATTGTAATTTCATATATAAATTGCTAAATCTGCAGTACTCGTGCTGAAAAAAAAAAAAAGCATGATTTGAAATCTTGTGGTTTCTAATTGTACCTATTTCTGCCCTAGCTCTCTGAGCCTGTTCACATGTAATGCTCAGATATCACATACTGTAGTCAGACAAAATGAATTATTACAGGAAAATAGCACAGCTCCAATACTCAATGAATGAAAAATGTTCCCCATGGAACCTTCATTAAAACTACTGTCAGTCTTGCTCATTTAAGTATTTAGGCAATACGTGGTAGCATACTGCATTTTCTAGTGGAGTGATCAGATTTCAATACTTTAGTGCTGGAGCTGAATGACTGACGCAGTGTGGGGAGCAGCATTCTCCAGGATGCTGATATTGCACCTTATTCCCTCCTAGACGATCTGTTGCTAAGCTGCCATGTGGAGCCCCTTTAAACCAATGCAGAAACAAAAAGGGTCTGTTAAAGGTAAAGTGATCCCAATAGTTTCTGTAAGCCTCTGGTGTGACAGAAAATTGATTATTCAGATGTCTACAGTGACAATCCTGAAGACACACAAGATCATCTCTTTTCTGAAATATCAAGTCTCTACATGTTCAGCCTACTTGTAATCTTCTGTATATATTGTTTTTAATCACTTAAAAACTTAAAAATATATTGTCATGTATACTACAAGACTAGAAAAACAGAACGCTTAATTAACGAGCAGCATTTCTCTGTCATCTCAAGTGACAGAAACAGATGTGTATGACTCTAGCCGTTTGATTACACGTATCAAGTATATACACAGTGACACAAATATTCACTTGAACACTGTTAAATGCAAATTAATTAAGCATCTTTAAATATGCAACTAGAAATCACACTTGCCTTCAGCTTCAGTGAAGTGCTTAGAAAAGTTTATTTTGTGCTTAGATTATTTTTCTAAAGCATCACAAAATTACACATCCAAACTCTTCAATGGTAGAATATTTAATATTCTGAAGGAGAGGCCTTTAAAGAAAACTGTTGTACATTATGATATTGTAAGTCTAATGGATTAACACAGCAGCAGAACCTAGATGAAAGGGGACATTACAGAAATTGTCTATTACCATAATGGAGAGGTGATCCATTCTAAATATTGATGCTTTTACCCCTTCTTGTAGCTAACACAGTTTTCTACTGCTGCCGCACACGTCCGCCCACCCCGTCTTTTGCTGTAAGGTGAAAACTCTTAAACTCTTCAAGGAGTAAAAATATATTAAATGTCCCACTTTGCTGATACCCACCTGTGAAATACCACACAACAGAAAGTACAGTAGAATACGGAGTCTGTCTTTTCAAAAACATAAGCCTTTTATGAGTTTAAGACATCAGGCATACATTGACTTTGTAAAATCAATTAAGAACTTTCTGTATGAGGACAAATATACATTGAAAACATACACTACAAGATGCTTTTTCCTGAGTAGAATGCTAACTTTATATCAAATTAAGCTTCTGTGAATTTTCAAAATGTAAAATACCAAGGCTTTTCCACAAAATCAAATAAAAATCAGGAATGTTCACCTTCACATCCAAAAAAAGTTCAAGTAGAGGTTCAACAAGAATGATGTAAAATCTGAAACAAGTAGCCAAGATTTTAAATTATCAGTAGATGCCTCTTCACTTTTAAGGATTCCTCAGTAAACTTCAGTTTGAAACAATTTATTAAAACAAGAAAAACATTTCCAGGAAATTATCCAATTTGGAAAATGAAAAATGTAACTCATGGTAAGAAAAATACAAATCATACACTGAACAGAGGAGAACAAAAAGGCAACCAACCTTTTATATGAATCAAGACAACACCATGGGCTTATAAAATCTTCCTAAACATATCCTGTATTATCATATGTAGAAAACTGTAACTAAAGTAAGGTAGCTTTTATTAGTTGCATACTCTAAAGCTATGACTAAATTTTGGAATTTACCTCTAAAAGGACCACACAGTTGTCACTGCAATACACATTTCTTGAGACAATGGGCAAAGTTCCCATTTATGGGAAATATGTTCTTTTTTTCACACAGTGAAACTGAGAAAAATTATATCAAATGAGAAATCTTTTTCTCTAAAGTAATCTCCTTAAATACCTCAATAATGCAATACTTGGGAAATGTAATTTTTCAACTCAGACTTGAAAAGGTTATTATGAAACAAACGTACAGAAATCTTATTGCTTGGCACCAGATTTTTCAAAAATTAAACAACTGTTTGAACCACCATACTGTTCTCAAATCCTGTTTTTTCAAATAATGCTACTTTTATTTTCTGAAGGTAGACTGTTCAACCTAATGACAATCTAGACTGAAACCTGCAATGTACAAGCAAGTCACAGTTCACTTCAAACCGAAAGAAATGATCAATTTTCTGTTTTTGTCAAAATCATATGAATATACTTGTACAAATTAACTAGATTTATCTGTGGCCAATGAAGGAGACACAGAACGTTGTCTTATGGCATTCTGTGCAAAGTCTGTGTTTATTCCTTCTTTGCTTTCAGGTTCCTCTTCTGAAACATCTTCTTCATCAGCCTCTTGTTCTTCCTCCACTTTTTTCAGAGGTTGAGAAGATTCTAGTAATAATTTTTCTTAAAGATAAAAACCAGAAATGTTCTTTTGTTGATGTATTAGAGTTGTGTTAAGAGTACAATCAAGACACAATTCATATGCCCATAAATTGCTTTGGCATTTATTTATCAATCATGTTTGGATTTCCAAAAGGAAAAAGCTATCTTCAAGAACAAGTGATACTGTAAAAATAACTGGTTTGGAAGATCCATTTTACTTACCAAATTCATTCTTATTATCCACCTATTCATAAACTGAACTGAAATTAATGAACCAGAATTAATACTGTGCATATTGTTGTAAGAAAACAGACTGCATTAAATATAACTATCTTATATTAACTTGCTATTAAATCTTCTAGCTAAGAAGTATATTAAGACAATCTTCAATACCACCCTTGTTTCAGCTCCCAGGAGAACAGGAATCAGACACTTAAGTTGAAGGCTATTTTCCTAGCCATGTTTTTTTTCAAGTGGTTTCATAAAGATGCTTCCACTTCTCCACATATGTAATTTTATTAAGGTGTAATTACAAATAATATAAGATACATATCTTAAGTATACAGCTCAATTAATTTTTTAATATGCACACACACACATATACCCCCCCTCCCTTTGTTAATAGGGACTGTTGCTAGTTAACTTAAACTTAGAAGACACCATGTTACTGAGATCCAGAACACAGAATTTGGCCAATGAGCTTTTCTCTGTTCAGTGATCCGAGACCGTCCCTAATCCTAGGCAACCCAGAATGGAGCGGGAAGAACACGGGGGTGCAAGGTAGAAGAAATTACGGGAAGGAATTACCGTAAAGTGGACAATCTGTTGTTTGGTTGGTCTAGCATCCCTTTTCCTGTTGGGTTACCCCTTCCCTATGCCACATCCCAAGTGGCCGTGGTGAGCACAAACGACAGTTTAGAGCAGTGGTTCTCCACCAGGGGTGATTCTGCCTCCTAGGGAACACTTGGCTATGTCTGAAGATATTTTTGGTTGCTACAACAGAGAGGGGTGGTGCTACTGGCAACCAGAGGGATGCTGCTGAACATTCAATAATGTACAAAAGACAGTTCATCACGATTAAGAATTATCCAGCCCAAAAGACCAACAGTGTCAAGGCTGAGAAACCCTGGTTTACAGTGACTGTTCCAAAAAGTGAGCCCTCTACACAAGTGGAATACACCAGAATTTTTCCAAAAGACAGGTGAGTACAGGGAGAAGTATATTTCCTTCTTACTCTGGGATTATGAGCTATAGCTTTCTATAGTCATTCTATTCTCAGGACTAAAAAGAGCCCAAAATGGAGCAAGCAAAGTTATAGAGAACTGAGCAATTCAGAAACATAAAAACATTTAAGCCCCAGGATCCAATCAACTCTGCCCTCAGGCTTCCTGACTATGTGAACCAATAAATTCTGATTTTGCTTAAAGTTAGACTCAGTTGGATCTTTTCCTAGCAACTCAAAATCTAAGCCAAACACACATAATGGAAAACAACTCAAAAAAATCCTGTAGCCTGCTGTAGAAGGGGTAGTATCACATTGAAGTATGGATTAGTATCAGTTGTGTCACAGATTACTTGAGACAAATCTGTTATTAGGCTTAAGGTTTTTGAAGCAAAATAAATATAAAATGTACATTCACTGACTTAATTGTCTTTTAAGTAATCTGTGCTTATTATATTTTTTCCTACAGGTCAGTGGCCCTTGGTGGATAAAATTATTCCCTCCCCTACCTGTGTCCTTCTTAGCATCAATGCAACTATCTAAGAAATTTTTTTAAAAACCCTATCAGTTGTTCGACAGACAAGGAATACTGTAAATGCAATCTCCACTGATTTCATTTCAGGAGTTTTGACCTCAGTTTAAGTCCTAAGTCACGAAACACAAAAGAACAGAAATGTCAGGCCAAAAGTCTGGTTTAGGTTCTACTCTCAGCTCTGTCATTTCTGTGTGAACTTGGAAACACAGTTCATCTCTCTGAGCTTTAGTTTCCTCAACCACAAAATGGGAAGAGTATCACTTATGCAGTCTACTTTAAAGAGCTGCTGAAAAGCAAATGGGATGACAGAAAGTGAAAGCTCTTTACAAACAGCAAATAAGAGGGCCTTCGTAACAGTATAATTTTCAAGATTAAAAATAAATGACTGGTAGGTAATCACATTAAGATAAACAGCAGTGAATATTCTAATTCCATAAACCCGTCGTGT